TCTCTTTTCCAGGTATTGGTGATTGATGGACGTGGCCATTTGCTGGGCCGCCTCGCAGCCATTGTGGCTAAACAAGTCTTGCTGGGTAAGGTTTGATCTGTCCATGTGGGAATTCTGTCACTCTCACCTCAATGTATGGAGGGTGTATTGTAGCTTGTATGCAAGGCTGAGGATGCATAACAATGTACGGAGATGCTTTTTGATATTTGAATCTTGCAAATATTGGAGCAAATTCTGAGACGACTTGTATGTTGTTGGGGTTTTTTTTAGCATAGCTAAAGGAATGTAACTTTTTAAATTTAATGCTGCTATTTTGATAGAAGTCTACATCTAGAAAAGTTCATAATTTCAGTGTATATATCTTCTGCCTACTCAGGATCTGTAGGATTCTGCTTCCTTAAAGTCTTTGTCTTAACATAGGTTGCATTTTGAAGCACATTATGATTTTTTCTATTGACTTAGATCTTTGGTCTGTATAGTTCACTGGCTAGTCATGATGTATGCAATTTTCTACACTACCTGTTAGTCTTACTGGAACTTAAAGTATCCTTAAAATTGTGGTCAGTTCCTGGAAGCTTTGTGGAATTGTCCATTAATTTTCTCGGCAACTATATGGAAGTAATTTGTCATTATTTTCTTCCAGGATGCCTTTTCAGTGTTTTAATCTGGCCTACAGACCTGGGATTTTCTGGGTGTTTGTTATGCAAAGTACTAACCTGTTCAATCCAGTTCAGTCTTTAAGATCAGTCAAGCTTGGCTAGGTTCTCCCAACCATTCTGCTACATGAACTAATTTATTCATCTGTGGATTAAAGAAAGTGGTGGAAGTGTGATATAGATTCCTGGGGATACAAACTTACAATTTGTAACAGATACTAGGCTTCACTCTTTGAAAATTCTACAGTATGTCCAATCTGCATTCCATGGCAAAGGACATGCTCTAAACATGTGCTTCCTTTTTCCTTCAGGGCGCAAAGTTGTGGTTGTGCGATGTGAAGGGATTAACATATCTGGCAACTTCTATCGCAACAAATGTAAGTAAAACTGAGGCTTCTAAACTTGTCAAAATGATTTGGGGAAGACAGTTTTCTAAGCTACCAAATGACTAATAAAGCAAATTAGTTAACTTTGGCAATTATGGCCAATTCTAAAGGCATGTGTTTTCTTAAAACAGTGACCCAGAGTCTAGAACAATCTGTTTTCCTTAAAGGTAGTCCTGCTTTGGCATAAATGTAGCAAGACTATACAATCTGAGACCTAGTAGTAGTGGTTTCAAAAGCTTGGAGGCCCTGAGGCCCCATAGGAGAAAGAGGGTCTACTAAAGGAATGAATAAGCATCTGGGAAGGCCATTCATTCTTCCAGAAAATGCAATATAATCATATTGACAAGCATTGCATTTGGAGATTTGCTGCTTTTCTTCCTTGGAAAACTGCATTTTAATTGATAACACAGCTAGAGGGTAGCATGTGGAAGAGTTGTGCCAGTAACTCATGTTGAAAATTTGGAACTAGAATTCTATACAGATAGTCCTCGACTTACAACCATTTGTTTAGTGACCGTTTGATGTTACAAAGGGGCTTCCAACCAGTCCCCAAAAGTTACACCCGTTGCAGTGCCCCCACCCACGCACACTTCCTGATCCATGCTGCACCCCTGTGCACCCTTCACGATCTGTGCCACACCCCCATGTGCCCTCCCCAACCCATGCAGCACCTCTTGTGCACCCCTGTGCACCCTTCCCAACCCGTGCCCCACACCCTCCCCAACCCACGCCACAACCTTGCATGCCCTTCCCAGCCCACACTACATCCCCATGGTCCCAACCTGCACCTCACCCCTTTCCTGTGCTATACCTCTCACACATCCTTTCTGACCCGTGCTGCACCTCTTGCTCACCCTTCCCACACACACCCTCCCTCCCCCACCCAGCAGTAGCTACTTGCTTGCTGGCAGGTCTGGGACTTACAACTTCCTGCTGGCTTCCTCACTGACATTGGTTGTGGGAAGCCGGTAGGAAGTTACCTCATCTAACAACCATGTGATTCACTTAACGGCAGCAACTGGGACTGCAAGGATTGCTGTTGCTAAGCGATGTAGTCGTGCTTTATGACCGCATTGCTTAGCAATGGAAATTCCGGTCATAATTGTCGTCAGAAGTCGAGGACTACCCGTACATTTTGCACAGTTGGGCTGTGTAAGCTGGCATTTGGATCATAAAAAGTTGCTGCTTTCTTATGTCTTTTTCATTGCAGAGAAGCCTGAGAAAAATGTAGGCACAGTCTAATGAATGAGTGGGCAGGGAAGAAACCTTTAGTGCTGGAGTTAACTCTTCATCCTCCTTGGGAGCTTGTGCTGACATGTCAGTTTAATGCGTGTATGTTGCATCATAGATTTTGGATGCTTTTAAATAATAATTTCCCCATTCTGCGCTAAAGAAAGGACTAGATAAGAGTGGAAACCACAAAGTAAGGCTGCATGATGCGATAAATATGAAGAACAGTGTCTGTGTGGAAGGTGGTCTGTGATGATGTCTTACCACCTTTAATTCGAGTGTCATGGCCATGAGACGACTGTACATGCACTACCATCTGAGACCACCAGCCTGTTCCTACAGCCTTCTTTGCTCTGTAACTATCCATATGATATGCATGGGCCCTGAAGGAGCAGGAGGGCTGCCTGCACAACTTCACTTCTCTTTTCCATGTTGAACTTAAGGCACTGCGGCACCCAGTTGCTTGGGGTGAGGAGCACGATGTTGGGATAATATTCATTTATTCCATTCATATAAACGGCCCCACCCAGGGCCTAGTAAAAGAGCCATGTCTTAAGGGCTTTCCTAAATGGCAACAGGCTTGGAGCCATGCAGAGTTTAGGGGAAGTGGGGGGGGGGAATATTGCCCTACAGTCAGATGCAGCTACAGGAGGGGCACATTTCTGAGGCCCCACAAAATGACATAATTTTAACAATGGACCTGGAGCATTCCCACTGTACTAGTTCTAGGAGGATGGACAGAGGCTGCCCCACAAATAACTCTGAGCCATGAAAGGCTTTATCATTGGCAACCAACACCTTGAATTCTATATGGAGGCTAATTGGCAACCAATGCAGCTTGCAGAGGTGTTACCTGGGTGCATCCCTAACCATTGTAATAAGATTAACAATTAATAAAGATAACAGTGACGCAAGGATTCCAAAATCTGTACATCTGTTGTCTACACAAGACCCTGAAGGTTTTCTTATACCCGGGGGCTCTTGTATTCTGAAGGTAGTTCTTCATAATCACAGTAGATGATTTTGTATGTTTGTATAGGAATCTGATTCCCCACATTTAGGAACAAAGCGTATGAATGAACTGTGTGGTTTGTGGAGTTCAGCTAACAATAATAATCTTTCTGATCTGGTCTAAGCCTTTCTCTTTTCCTGTTCTCACAGTGAAATACCTTGCTTTCCTTCGCAAGCGTATGAACACCAACCCATCCCGTGGCCCATACCACTTCCGTGCTCCCAGTCGAATCTTCTGGAGAACAGTTCGAGGTGAGTGTTGTTTTCTCATTGAAAACAGAAGTGTTTTCTTAAAAAGAATAAATCTAGTTTCAAAATACCTGCACACATTTGGGGAATATGTGATTTGATACTCTTTGGGGGTCCACATTTCCATTCATTTTTGTGTTTTGAACAAGGTTAACTTTCTTTAACTCGTTCCTTCCAGATTAGGATCAATGACTATGTAGTCTAGCAGTTAGAACAGTTGCAGTCCACAGCACCTTGAAGGGTCCAGATTAGCAAAGACTGGGTTGAAGTTGGGGTCCATTAAAGCACTTCTGATCCAGGTTGCTTTCGTATTCGTTTGCTCAGTGATCACATCTAGTCCTGGTTCATTCTGCTCAGCATTGCAGATGTTATTTTGATCTGTCCATTAAGTGGAAGGGAGCTGTTTACATTTGCTTATATGTTGTAGAGTTTTTTGAAGAGATTTGATCTACTCCTTTATGTATCTCGGGGTCTCTGCTAATCCTCTACATTTTTCCCATTTGTTTCCCCCACTCCACTAGGAATGCTCCCTCACAAAACCAAACGTGGCCAGGCTGCCTTAGAGAGGCTGAAGGTTTTTGATGGCATCCCACCACCTTATGATAAGGTAACTCTCTTCCTGATGCACAAGAGAAATACCTTGACTCCTTAGCTTCCTGTTCTGTCAGTGATGTTCCTCTTTTTTACCTACATTGTTTGACTTGAGATGTGAGAAAAAGCCTAACACTGAGGCAGACCTGAGCATCCATAGCGGTGCTCAGAGCTACCTTCTTTGTGCAAGTATGCTAATGAGGCATGTTTTCTCCTACAGCGCAAGAGGATGGTGGTCCCAGCTGCCCTGAAAGTGGTCCGGCTCAAACCCACACGCAAGGTAATGTTTGTTACTGTTAAGAGTTGCCAGTAGGGATTTAGTACAATGTGTCTTTGTTGCAGTCTGTTGCCATACAATCCTAAATTAAGGAGGACCCCTAGCTTCCCATGTTAAGTGTGCAAAGTATGTTTTCAGGAGGTCCTTTTCTCTGGCTAAAAGAATTGAGATAAGGAAAAGCGATCTGAGGTCTTGCAGACCTCAGTTGCTTAAATGGTATCAAGCAAAACGATTGACGTTAGTGGATGTCCATCCAGATCAGTTCCCAGCCTCTCTATGGTACCTGAAAATGTAGTAGGGGCTCTTATAGTCAATCATGGTATTTTATCCTACGGTGTCACTATTTGATTGGTGCCTGTTGGGATTGGGAATGTTGGCCTTATTAGCTGGCTGTGGGATAATATCTCTGCTATATTTGTTAAGGGTATTGATTTGGGTAGGTCTGTGATGATGACATTCCACCATAGTTCGAGTTTCAGGACCATGAGACAGCATTTCATGCACTACCATCTGAGACCTGCCTTTCATGATATGCTCTATGAGATTTTGAGGACGTCTGGGGATACAGTAGCCCTTCTGGGTTAGCAAGTCTGTGATTGAGGACAAGAATTCTGATTCTGCTGAGGAAGTCTTTCCAGCCTGGTCACTTGTAGCCATGCTGGTTGGAGATCCAGCACAGCTGGAAGACAGGTTGGGAAAGACTCTGCTAAAAGAAGAGCAGGGCTGCACTTAAGGGCTGAGTTGTCTATGTAGTCTAGGTGGGTGTGGAGTACTAGGAATGCCGTTAATAGGAATCTCTGGGAAAATGAAGTTCACTGAGCAAGAATAGAAGGTCTGGTTAGTGGAAATTTGGGGCCGTGCTGGGAATGGTCATAAAGTGCTACATTTTTCTTCCATTCAGTTTGCTTATTTGGGCCGCCTTGCCCATGAGGTTGGCTGGAAGTACCAAGCCATCACAGCCACTCTGGAAGAGAAACGCAAAGAGAAGGCCAAGCTTCATTATACAAAGAAGAAGCAACTTATGGTGAGTTAACCTTAGCTTATAATTGTTGTGAAGGGTGTTCCAGACTAGAGTTAATAAAGAGACAGCTGTGTCTTTTCCCCGCCCCAAATCTCTCATATTAAAGGCTGAGTGGAGAAATGTTTATGCCTGGAAGTCCCAGAACAGATAAATTAGAATGAAGGGGAAGGGCAATAACTTTAGATTTTCCACAAAGGGAGACTATTAATTGTCCAGTAAGTTGTAAAAAAGAAATTATAAAGGGAATCCGAATTATTCTGTGACTGATTCTCTGATAGTTTGACTGTGTGATTTCCTAGCATTGGACTTCTACCATTCAGTATTTACCTGCCTGTTAAGATCCTGTGGCTGAACTGAGTTTCTCTTCTTTCTCTTTCTCCTTTTTAGAAACTCCGAAAGCAAGCAGAGAAAAATGTGGAGAGCAAGATTGCTAAATACACAGATGTCCTGAAGCAGTATGGTATCTTGGTTTAAATCAAGGTCTAGGATCAGTTCACAATAAAAAAGTATGGTTTACAGTCTTGTGGTTTTATGTTTACGTTTTATTATTTAAAGGAGTATTTCAAGTAGTTTTTTCCTGATAACAGTGACTCCAGTTGATGGGAATGAATATTAGATTTTCTGAGAGAGAGATTATTTAGATTTATTTTCAAGGCGCGAACAGTAGTGGGTGTCCATTCTCTAATCCAGGGATTTTCAAAGTGTGGGTCTTCAGCCACTCAGAGTAAAATCACAATTCTTTTGCAAACTAAACTACAGAATGAATTCTGATAGTGCTTTCGTTTTGTGTGCAAACCAGAAGCAGAGTCCCAAGTGAGTTTTGATAGATGAATAACCCCATGAAGTTAGCTGTCTGTTAAAACTCTCTGCTGCCGGCAGCAATTTTATAGATTAGCTATCAGTTTAGACAGCTTGATGGAAGTTTCATCTGGTTTCCTTCTCGCTTAATGTATTATAGGTACTGTACCACCTTATGCTGTTTGCCTAACCCATTCACATTTTGCTGATGTGGTGGCCAGCAACTGGAGCAGCAGGCTAACACCATGAAAGCAGTACTGAGGGTTTATGCTTTGAATTGAAGATTGTACTTTTGCATCTTCAGACTTTACTTTGGAAGTTGGCAAGCTTTTCCAGTCCCCAGTACCTCAAAATACTTGTTCTAAAAAATGGCCAAAGTCTTTCAGGATGTCCTAAGATCTTGTACATCGGTTATGAGCCAATGCTGAAATCTTGTACAAGCTGATAAGAATTTTACATTCTCACCTGAAATCCTGCAAGAGCTAATGTAAAAATATTGCCAACTCTGGATATTTTGATGACACAAGATTTCATCATCATTCCAGATCAAGCCACTCCAGGATGAGGGCCTCCTTGTTTACAGTCATGGACCATCATTACCAGGCAGGCCCAGTGTAGGTTGGTAGACAGAAGTGGTTTTGACTTCCTAGTCCAGGGCTGGAAGAGAATGATTCACCCAGCCAGTTTCCATGCCTACGGAAGGCCTAGAACTTGGGTTCCCCACTTCTAGTCTGCCATTACAATATGCCAGATTGGCTTTCTTTAAAAGCAGTCCTTTTAAAGCAAGTCATTTAAAGTTCTGAGCTAGAATGCATTCTGCCAATATTTTCACGGAGTTCATGCTTTTCCAGGCCAAAACCAATCTCACCTATTCTGAGCCAGACAGTTTTAAATTGATATATGCAACCATTGTCTAGAGACTAGAGTTTTAGTAGAATTGAAACATTTATTAGGTAACCTCAGCATTACACGTTATGGTCTTGTTCGTAGGTTACTCCCACCTGATCTCGTGCTTCGTCCATGATACAGGCAATCATTTTGCTCTCTCGCAAAGGCATGATAGGACTTTCCTTCAAACCTGCATGGAAAATAAAACCTGAATTAGCAATAAATAAGTTGGGCCTTGCGTGAAGGAGGACTGTATGGCTTGCTTCATATTGCTGGACTCCTAACTGTCCTCAGCTTCAGTCTATATGATTTGCATGGAAGCTCTATGCTCTCTGCCCTTTCCTAGAATCTGATCTTGGTGTGAAGAATAAAAGCTTTATCCTTAGCTTCAAATGTGAACACTTAATAACTTAATTATTGGCCACATAATCATTAGATCTCAATGTCAACCCGAGATGTAATTTGAAATTGTCTTCTGAAGTAAGAATTACTTTTATGGCAGGTTTTTAGGAGCAACTTAATTAGGCAGAAATTTAACAGATACAGCATTCCATGGCAATCCTTCCAGTAGGGGGAAGAACTAACTCTTCAATGCAAAGATAGTCGAGACAGAAAAGAAAGTAATCCAAATGGGAAAAGAGAAACAGAAAAGTTGAGGTGCCCCTGATCAAATTGTAGGTTTCAGTGAATCCCTCAGAGAACAGCAGCAGATAACCTCTTCATGGTATACATTCAGCAAAGAAATTGAAGCTGAAAAGAGGGTGGATATTTTGATAAAATAACTTAAAGGTGTTGAATTGTTTTTACAGTCCCCAGACTTGAATATTATTGAAAACCTCTGGAATGCAAGGAAATTTCCAAGTGAGATTTCTGCAAGGAAGAGTAGGGGGAATTAACAAGAATAGGAAGACGCTTAGCTGGTTGCAAGAAACACTGGGAAGCTGTTACTACTTGTGACTGAGAGGGTGTCTAAACAACTTATTTTGAAACCATAAGCAATTGCATATAAATGGCATGGCACTTATATTTGCAGGAAGATGTGTTTATCTCTGTACCACCTTCACTAAAGGATTTGTTGACACAATTTCACCAGGGATGCCGTAGTTTTTATAGGGGACAGCAGAGCTGAGAGTAAAATAAGCCAGATACTAGAGATGTGGGGTTATTAAAAAAAAAAAGAAAAAAGGAATGGGTTGTGGATCAACTAAAGAAGAACTGCTGAGTTAAATGGGCCTTCAGTCTGATCCAGTAGTTGTCAGATCCACCACCACCACCACTTCGTTACCCTTTCGCAGACACTCTCGGACATGTTCAGCTTCATACCGCAACCCAATACCGTGCTTAAAGTAGAGGGGTTCAGGAGAAGGTGGCAAGGGCCATTCCCACCGGTTCCCTTTCATAAACAAAATTGTAGGGCTGTTCATGTGGTCCGGAATCTAGGAAGAAAAGCAGGATGGTCTTTCCAATGGCAGAATTGAAATCATGTTATCTGCTCTGGAAATCTGCAGATGGCAGACAGTAATATGTTTATAACCCAGCCTACACCAACCAGATGTGACTTCATTAATATCCATTGTGTTTTTACTGCAATTTGAAAGACACAAAGAGTATGGTATATAAAAACATATTAAGCCAGTAATCAATGCACATCCAACAAATAATCTAATTTATTAAGCTATAATACAAAAATCATACAACCCCACTAAGAATTAATGTGCTGAATTTATCTGTTGATTAACATGCTGGTCAGTGTGAGAAGCAGAGTCCAGTTGTTGGTGACTGCACTGCCGAGATTCAAGATGTGACAGTGATGTCTTAGCTACTCAAGGAATCCAGATCTTGGAGGATTCTGGATCTTCCAGGAATCTTCCAGGAATCCAGATCCCCAAGGAATCCAGATCTTGCAGCAGTAATTTTTCTGTTACTGTATTTTAATCTACATCATAGGATTAAAACTGTCGGTCCATATATCAAACTAAGTCATAATTGTTTGACAAGCTAAAATTGGCTATGTTCCCCAAACTCAGTAAGTAAAACCAAGCAAAGAGTATACAGTATTATGACAAAATGTGTGAACCTGCTAATTGAGAATGTTAAAGTCTTGTTAAAGTCATCTAAATGAATATGACAACAGCACTGCAGTGTGTGGATTAAAGACTTGCTGGGTTACACACAGTTCCCATTGCTCACACCTAAAATCTCCCTGAATTCTTTTGCGCTCTCAAAAATTCCACAGCAAATCCCTCACGTAGTTATAAAATCCACTTGGCATTCTTAAGCAGGAAAGAGAAGTAATAATTAAGAGGACTTTCTAAATAACAGCATACTCCAACCCCAATGTAACTCAATTTCTAAATCCACAGTGAGCCCACCGGGAAGTGTGTGGAAGACAGAGTGAGCGCTATTGGGAAGCCCCCTAATTCTTGTAACAGCAAGGGGGCCTCTTTGCCTCAAGCATTTAGAACAGGGCTGGGCAGCCATTGGCTATTTAGGGATGAGGACGGCTGTGGCCATGCAGGCTCTGATTTTCTGCTCTGAACTGTCTTTTAAACTGAGTTAAGCTACTTAAGGCTTTCTGATACAGCCTCATAGAACCTGGGCAGTCTGATGGCTGTTGTTTTTCTATGGACGAAAAAGGTATATCAGAATTGGCATGCCCCAGCATGGCCACCGACTACCCACTCTTTCTGAGTCAGTCATCTGCCCGTAATCAGATCCCAATTGTACTTGATGCCATCTCCAAAGTAGCATTTGGAATCAGGCTGTGGTGGATGATGTCTTTGACTTTCACAGCTTCTGCCTTGGCTTTGCCCCTCAGCCAATACCTTGATGATTCCTTGAGTTCCTCCAATTGTTGCCTCTCCTGGCAGATCAATCATCATGGTGACATTAAGCACAGCCTGACGGTTCTCTGAATAGTTGAGGATGATGGAAACGGTTTCGTCCACTCCTGAAAGGCACAGAAAAGGTTACCTGCCTCAGCCATCTCCCTCAAGCCATGACAATAACCTTAAGAACCCACCAAGCCACACTGAACTTATCTCCTTTCCTGCAGGAGCAGTTCAATAATTTACCTGTTTTAGCCAACAATCCTGAGGCCACAATCGATTTGGGCATTTCAGGCCCAAAAATCATAGAGGCAAACTGGATGCAGTAGCACCCCAAATCCAGGATGACACCTCCACCCAATTTCTTATCCAGCAGCCTTGGAACGTTGTCCATCCGAAAGCCCAGCTGAGCTCGGAGAACTTTTAAATTCCCAAGAGATCTCTGGCTTATTGCGGTACGGATTTGCTCAGACGCAGGAAAGAATCTGGTCCAGAAGCCCTTAAAGAAACCAAAGCTTGTTAGATTGGAGTGTATCCTATACATCAAGGGAAGTAGCATTGGATACAGACCTCTTTTTTGCTGTTCATATTTTTTTAGTCTAAATCAGTGTTTCTCAACCTTGGGAACTTGAAGATCTGTGACTTCAACTCCCAGAATTCCCCAACCAGCATGTTTGAGTCCACACATCTTCAAGTTCCCAAGGATGAGAAACACTGGATTAGGGAGTGCAGAAACCAGATTAGCATAATGCAATACACCTCCACCCACCCTAAAAAAAAAGGGGGTGGGTGGGAGTTAGCAGAATGGGATTGGAGAATTGCTGCCCAGACTGGTAAACAGGCATTGTTGCTGCCCGGAAAATCACTTGTTAAAAACTGTTGGGTTGCACATTGCTCCTACTTGGCAAACTTCAAGCATCTACTTGTTTCTTTCAGAGGTTTGCCAATTTCCTGCCAGCTAGATTAGGATTCCTGAGTCTGTGTACAAGTTGGGGGTGATCAAATTGTTAAAGTGAAACTTTCCCCCTGTTCTGAGTCAGAAAAAGAGAGAAAAAGATCTAACGCTGCCTGATTGCTGATCATAGGAGCTTTGGGCCAAGACAGGAAGAAAAGGGAAGGCACTGGTTCAGTTCTTACCTGGGTTAGGACAGCTTCCTTTGTAAACTGCCCTTTGTCAGTAGCTGGAGAAAACCAGACTGTGTGGGCTAGTGGTTAAGGTGTTGACTAGGAGCAGGGAGATGCAGGTTCGAAACTATGGGCCAGTTTCTTTCTCAGCCCAGCCTACTTCCAGGGGAGTCATTGTGGGAGAAAAAAATCGAGTCTCTTCTATGTGGGCCACCTTGATTTAAAGGTAAGCTATAAAACCAAACTCATACAGGTAGTCCTCATTTAACGACCACAATTGGGACTGGCAACTCAGTTGTTAAGCTAAGTGGTCGCTAAGTGAAACCACAATCGTGCTTATGATTGTACTTTAGCTTTCCTTTGTTTTACAGACCTGCAAAGGTCGTAAATGTGAGGACTGGCTCTAAAGTTACTTTTTCATCACCATCATAACTGTGAGCAGTCACTAAACAAGGCCACTAAATAAGGATTACCTGTATTACCAAAGCAATCGTGGATTAGAGACCAGGAAGCTTTAAAACAGCATTTTTATAAGGCTATTTGTCCAGCTCATCTGAGCCTGTAGAAATTTTTCCTAATGCCAACTACTTGTTCCTTTTGATTGGAAAGGTAAAGATTTGAATGTGGGACCTTCTGCAGTATAAATCAGGTGCTTTCCTGCTATGCTTCTCCCATATGGAGTGTATGTTTCTTAAGGAAGTATGTGAATTTCTTTGAAATAATGGTACTGCAACACACCATAGGTACAGATTGTAGGCAGACTTTTTCTGATTCTCCCTTCCTGAGCCATCTTGAGACTATCTGCTTGTTGGACGCATCCACATTCTAATCTTCTGTTTTTCATCACTGAATTAGTTATTTTTCTCTGCTTTTTCAGTTTGATATTGCCCGCTGATTTTATACATGACAGCCCACCCCTAAATTACACTAGGGTTGAAGGAAGAAAGAGGTAATGTCTATGTAACCATGCATCTACACGGTGCTAAGCTTATTAACAAAAGAAAACCAGAAGCACATACGATGGTATTAAAGACACAATATAACTTCAAAACGAATAATCCTCATTTTTCAAAGGGAGAAAAGAATCTGAAAGTTATGTTAAGAGTGGAGCAACTCCCAAAACACAGACTTGGATTGCATGAAAAATTTACTGCTTGCTCCTTGGTTTGGAAAAAAATATATCAAAAGTCAACCAACAATATCTAGCAACAATCCGTTGCTGAAGATGGGTGGATGTAGATTTTCATTCTAGTATTATATGGAGAAACTTTTAAGCCAACCCCATGCCTGTAGTTCTTGATATCTTGATGCTAACTATCATGGATATAGCCAAAAAGAACCTATGCATCTGTAACTGTGTGTTAATCATAATCATAACGACAATCATGCTGATACAGCCCAAATATGAGAATAATAGGACAAGACCAAATCATATGTTTAACGTTCCAGCTTGCATCTCCAGTAGCAAAGCAATTATAACCCGTCCTCCCTTGCCACCATGATTCAAAGTAATATATTTTACATGTGTATTTTTAATATACCAGTACATAATGCACAGTGAGGTGTATAAAATAAACTGAATGGTTTCTCGGTGCTAACACAAATGCATAAAATCTCACCAGTTGCCACAACTGTTTTTAGTGATTTGTGCAGCAGCAAAACAAACCTTTTAAAAATGGGGCAGGGAAGGAAGTTGAGTGACTGGCACCTCTACCTAATTATAATATAATATGATTTCCAATTTATAGCCAGTGATCTAGAGTTTTTTTAAAAAGCATAGTTTTTCTACAGCCATAAAGTGACAAAAATGGTTCAGTACTTGAATATATGTCTCAAAAACATTCTACCTCTCTTTGTGCACATATGATGGCTTCTAAGCTGTAGTTTGTTCAGTAACCACAGTGGGTGAGTTTACACCACATGCTAAAAATCACATTGAAAGAAACCTCTTATGAACTTAGCACAACGTGTGAACCCAATTATAGCTTGATTCCTAAAATATCACATTTCCTACCTCCATGAGGAAGACATTATTTTCCTGAGCTGCTTGTATCATGTCTCTCACTTCAGCTGCATTCATGCCCATGGGTTTTTCACAGAGAACATTCTTCTTAGCTCGGAGGAAGAGGATGGTAAGAGTACGATGCTGGGTGTTGATAGAACCCACATAGATCACATCTGGAGGGGGGAGCGGAAGACATCTCAGCAGATGAACAGAAACCGGGAGGGAAGTGAAGAGGGAGACCAGGACTTCACTGGAGCCTGAGAATCTTCTTATAGGCTGGAGATGCCAGGAACCTCCGACGGGGAGGGGGGGGGGGGGTCAAAAAAGTCAGAGATGGTGGCCACACAATCAAAACCGCCAACTTGATTTTTTGAGCCTCCAGGGATGCCCTCTTCTCTCCTTCCTTCCTTCTTCCCTTCCTTATATGCTTTTTGTGTGTGTTTTTAAATCCCACCTTCTCTCCAAATATGCCTCAGTGGGTAGCAGGGCCAGAGGTTAAACTCAGGCCTGGTTAGTATTCAGATGGAAGATTACCAGGACTTCCTAGAGCTTAAGACTAGACCAGGAAGTCAAAACAGAAGGAGTGGCAAACCCTTTCTGTTCTGCTGGCAAGAAAACTGGCTGGACCCCTCCATGAATTTGCAGAAGTCAGGACTGATTCAGACTCTCCCTGAGGAGCTCAGAACAACAGTCCTTCATGCTCTTATTCACCTACTATTTATCCCTTGCATAACTCTATGAAGTAGGTTAGACCAATGTTTTTCAACCTTGGCAACTTTAAGATGTGTGGACTTCAACTCCCAGAATTCTGGGAGTTGAAGTTCACACATCTGAAAGTTGCCAAGGTTGAGAAACATTGGGTTAGACAAACATCTGGCATGTATCTTCCTAAACTGATCCCTCCTAGTTTGAGATCTCAAATCCACTTGGGAGAGAGCATTCCAGTTGCTCTTTTCCACAACCCCACCCTACCCTGCCCATTTTGGAACCAATTTTTTGTCCCCAGGCTCCCCCTCAACTCACCTATGTCAGGATCCTTTGCCAGTTCCTCATATGAGCCATAGGCCTTGCTAATGCCATGTTGTTTGGCATAGTCCTGGGCACGCTTGAGACTGCTAGAAGCAATAGCATGTACCTGGAAAAAGAAAAACCAGCCAATGAGAAAAGACTCACAAAAGATTAAATGCCTGCAACCACCTCCCCTGAAAATTAAATGCAGTTAGATAGTTTTTCTTACAAAGTTGGCCTTCCTTGGGCTCAGAGGAAGGGGTTAAAGGGATGATGAATTTTCCATTCATCCTTACACTTGATCAAAAGAGAATATGCAATTTAGGAATCATGTCCTTTGAGCATGATGGGTAGGGAAGCACGGAACGGCCATTGAGATGGAAGCACAGAAGTGTGGTGTATGAGGCGATGGTATAGCTGATTTTATTTTTGATTTTGGTATTCATGTTGTTGCCTAGTGGTGGGATTCTGGCCATTGGCCACAGCATTGTTTTGCCAGGGCATAGCTCGAATAATACACCTCTTCCCAGGACTCACCTGGGGTGATTTCTTAGGATCAAGCTATTCCTTGGGTAACTCATGCAGAAACAATGGCTTCTGATCAGACGTTGCGCTATGAGACCTGTTGGGCTTGTGTTCTCTTAGCTTCATCGTATGGAATAGTGCATAGCCACACTTAGAAGACAGAGATTATTTGCAGAGGTGTAATAATATTAAGTTCTTTACTAAAAACAAGAATCATATGGACTCCAAGGAAGTAGAATGGAGAGATAATGCTTAAAATCGCAATAAGCATGTTCTGATGTCATTAGAGGCCAGTTGAGTGTGATTGTTCTGTTATGTCGCTTGGTTGCCATTTTATATTCTGTATTTTATTTATACATTGCTCAAGTATTCATGTTACCTGGTTTGAGGGTTGTTTGGTTTATTGTTTGTTTTTGTGATGTATGCCACCCAGTCACATTATGTTGGGCACCCTTATAAATCTAATAACTAAGTGAATAAATAAATAAAATATAACCAGTTTCCAAGTTCTAAGCCTTATATTTATACTTAAGCTTTAACCTTTAAATCTGATTTAATCCACACAGACTTGGCCTTTGAACAGGCAGGATAGGAAGAGTATTGACACTTTTGAACTTTGGTGTTGGAGAAGACTCCTGAGAATA